AATCACCTTTCTTTGCATGTTCAATTGCTTCTTGGTAGCTCTCGGGCTCCCCTTGATCAGAAATCAACACAAATTCATTGGGCGGATACTTTCTCGAAGGTTATCGGTCCCTTGTATATTTCCTCAACTCAAGTTGTGGTGGCAGTTTTTAAGTTGGATGCTCTTTCTCAATTTCTGGTTCAACTTCATTTGGAGTAACATCATTATCTACATCTTCAAGAGGTGGCTACACATCTCCCCCCTTTTCATCATCAACTAAAGACGAAGGAGATGAATCCATGTCAATGAGATCACTAGTTTTTGGCCCCGATTGATCACATTTTCCAAAATCTTCAATTGTTTGGTCTTCAAGAAATACAACATCACAGCTTCGAATAACTTTCTTGTTGACTGGATCCCATAATTTATAACCAAATTCATCATGCCCATAGCTAAGAAAAATGCATTGACTTGACTTGCTATCAAGCTTGAACCTCTTATCCTTTGGAATGTGAACAAAGGCTCAGCAACCAAACATTCTCAAGTGCTCATAAGACACATCTTTACTGGTCCAAACACTTTCAGAAACATCACCATTCAAAGGATAGGAAGGAGACAAATTGATCACGTCAACCACTGTCTTCATTGCCTAACCCCAAAAGGATCTTTGCAATACCACCATTGTGTATTCGGATGCACTTCAATTTATACCATGTTTCTCTTTCAACCATGGCTTGAAAATGCTTAAATATATCTAGAACAAAATCTTTAGTTTTTAGTGCAAAAGCCCAAACTTTCCTTGAATAATCATCAATGAAAGTAATAAAATAAAGTGCACCACTATATGTTTTAACTTTTAAAGGACCACAAACATTCGAATGAATCAACTCCAAAACATTTTCTTTTCTAAACGCAACATTTTTATGAAAAGAAACTCTATGTTGTTTACCCGCCAAACAATGAACACAAGTTTTAAAATGTGTACCTTTCAAACCGGGTAGAAGCTCTTTCTTGAACAAAACTTGCAGCCCCTTTTCACTTATATGCCCAAGCGGCTTGTGCCACAATTCGATAGAAGTATCATCTTCAAGTGCATTGACAACACCTTTACAAATTTTTCCTTGCATCGAATAAAGTATATCAGTCTTCTTGCACTTAGCCACCACCAAAGAACCCTTTGTGAGCTTCCATATTCCATTAACAAATTTGTTGTTGTAGCCTTCATCATCTAGCTTTCCAATAGAGATCAAATTGAGGCAAATGTCAGAAACATACCTCATATTTTTAAGCAACAATTTGCAGCCCAAATTTGTTTCCAAGCAAACATTACCCACGCCAACAATCTTGGACCAACCTTCATTACCCATTTGAACACAACCATAATCTCCTTTGGTGTAGGTATTGAAGAAATCAACTAGAGAAGTCACATGAAAAGAAGCACCGAAATCAATCACCCAATTGCTCTCTTGGCCTACAAAATTGACACAATCATCTTCACAAACAACCATGAGATCATCAGTAGTAACTGCCGTTGTGTCTTCTTGCTCCTTACCCACACTTTTTTCATGCCTTTTCTCCTTGTTCTTGAGCTTTCAGCATTCTCACTTCATGTGTCCTTTCTCATGGCAATAATAGCACTCAATGTCTTTCTTTGAAAAAGAACCATCTCTTGATTTGTCACGGCTTTGATCACGACCATGAGGAGTCTTACTCCTTCCCCTTCTTTTGCTTCGGCCTCTCACAATAAATGCCTCTAAATGAGAAGAACCCGCTGATTTTCTTCTAGTTTCTTCATTTAACAAGCTACTAATGACTTGGCTTATAGTTATAACTCCATCGGGCACCGAATTACTAACCGTCATAACCAAAGTCTCCCAACTTTCAGGCAAGGAACTAAGCAGTATCAAAGCCTGCAACTCATCATCAAAAATAGTTTTCATAGAAGCAACTTGCTTAACAATACTTTTTATTTCATTCAAATGTTCCGAAATAGGGTTGTCATCTTGATATTTTAAATTAGCCAACTTTCGAAACAAAAAGGCTTTATTTGTGACTGATTATCTATCATAAAGGCCTTCTAATTTTTTCCATAAATCATATACTGAAGTTTCAATAACAACATGATGAAACACATTGTCATCAATCCATTGACAAATAATACCAACAGCTTTTCTATTAAGCTTCTTCCATTTATCATCTTTCATAACGTCGAGTTTGCCACTATTACCCTCAATGGGTCCAAATAAATCTTTACAAAATAATAGGCCCTTCATTTTAGTTTTCCAAGTTATCCAATTGCTTCCATTGAAGCTAAACATACTGCAACGACCCCAACCTATGATTAACTGCTAAATTATGATTAAATATGCCTAATAAGTACTTGACATGAAATTTCGAATTGATTGCATGTGTGTTGCATTATTTGTGTTCATATTTATCTATCGTAGAAATATCTGTTCATGTTTTTGTTTTGTTCTACGAATTGAAGGCCTTATCGGCCACAAAACGTGAAATTGACTTGGTTTATGCATTATTGGAATTTTTAGAATTTTATGGTAAGCTGAATTGAAATTTGATTCGGGACGAAATAATTAAAATATAATAATTGCCATTACTTAGTTTAATCCAAGCTTAATTAGAGCTCCCTAATCAAGCCTATTTAAGGCCACTTCTAGCACCTTTGAGATAGTTTACACTCCTGTTCCTTCATTCTTGAGCCTCAAAAATGTGAGAGAGGGAGAATTCAGAGTGAGAGACTTGAATTCAAGAAAGAAATGAGGTTTTGCTAGGAAATTAAAGGGCAATTGAAGAATTGAGCAAGAGCTCACTAGGAATTCAAGAAATTGAGAACTTTAGGTAAGAATTTCAATCATTAAACTTGTGTTTGACTCACTCATGCTTGAATTTAAGAGAAATTAGAGATTAGGGTCGAGAATTGACCTTAAGAATAAGAATTAAGATCAACCCATGCATTGCATGCATAATTCATGAGTTTTTAGCTCCATTTTAATAAATTCTTACATGCAAGAGCATACCATTGCTATATTGTAAGAGCTCACTATGATTCCACTTGAAAACACTTCTTCTATTCATGTTTTGGGAGCTTTGTATTCAAGTCATTGCATGCATGTTATGTTTTCATAAGTTTAAAGTTTACTTTTGGAAAAATGTGGAAGAATTCACTTGTTTTTGGACTTGATTTTGAAAAATGACTTTCAAATCATGAAGTTCTATGAGTTTACAAGTGTTTTCTCAAGTTTTGGGTCCAAAAGGTGTGATTTGAACCATTGAATTCGAGTTTTGAATCATGGAAGCAAACCTGAAAATTTCAGAATTCTACTACTTCACTAGAGTGACAGATCCTGCACTTGAGCAACCACCCTTTGTTTTGCACTTCCGCTCGAGCGACCAAAAGTTGGCTCGAGCGTAAAATGCATGCTCCCAGAAATTTTCATGTTTTGCAGACCGCTCGAGCGACTAGAGTTGTGTTCGAGCGAAGACCTCAATCTCACGCTCGAGTGACTGTCGAGCGTGCATCAAGCGAAAAAATCAAGCAATCAGTACTTTTGCAGAGTTTACAGACCGCTTGAGCGAAGACCCTGTTTTTAGCAAATTTTGTTAAGTGTTTCAAAATACATTTTGGCATTCTCATTGCATCCTAGCATTCCTAGGCCCTAATTAAGACCTAATAATGAGGATAAAATTTAGAAACACACTAAGAATGAAAAGAAGTAAGTTCAGTGACTTTCGAACGTGTATTTCAATGTGTATTTGTTATGTTTATGTAGGTCATGCACCATAAGTTATTTGATTTGTCTACTCTGTCTGTCTGCTTCTAGAGCCATCTATGAGTAATAACTTAGTAAAGCTATGTTCAACTTAATTTATTTTCTGTATGATGAATTAAGATTTGTTTTGTGAAATGTTATATTTTGTACAATGAATGATTGTTCAAGTTTCTGAAATGTATTCGTGGCATCCTTAGCACATGGCCCTTGCCCAAAGGTAATAATATTGTTGTCTAATGGCCCTTGCTTGGGGGTAACAATATTATGGTCTCATGGCCCTTGCCCAGAGGTAATAATACCGTGGTCTCATGGCCCTCGCCCGAGGGTAACAATACTATGGCTTAAGCATGTTATTTGTTCCCGGTACCAGAGGTTCCTTTATGGAACTGGTCAAGTATGACCCTTAATGCTCTGTATCTGATCTGTTAGTGCTAATGGATGTACTATGTATGATTAAGCATGAATTTCTGATTCTTGTATATGATTTTGAACAAGAATAAGAGTTATGACTCTATTTCTGCTTTTTGAATCTATTACGGGACATCATTCATTTAACCCTTTACCCTGTTATTATTCACTGGGCTCCCACTCACTCTATTTATATTATGTATATAGGTGACCAGGTGTGTGACCAGGCCTAGAGTTAATGGCCTAGAGTTTGACTTTTGGGTCAGCCAGCCACCGTGCCTCCCTAGGAGGTTCTCGTTGAAAGAAGTCAAGTTTTGTGGACCAAGCTAAGAGTTTGGTCCCTTTTCATAATACATGTACGGTGTTGCATGACTTATGACCTTTGGACGTTATGTATACATATGTACAAAGTTTTAAATTATCTATCTCATGTATGTCACACAGCTCTATAGACATTGTATGTTTGTATTTGTTTCCGCAGCCTCTTTATTTATATGATTTTCAGGTCAGAGGCCTTTGGTAATCCCAGGATTACTGGCCGGTTATGATGCTAAACCTAAAGGGGCAGGTTTGGGTCATGACAGAGCGGTATCAGAGCACGAATTATACTGCACGTACGAGTCCATATGAGCTATAAAGTGTCCTAGTAAGAATTAGGGGCATTCCATCTACATGTGTAGGTGTGTGAACTATGTGAACATATTCGAACTAAAATGACATGAATTGAACATATTTGAATCAATATAAAATGAATTGAATTTGACTTGAACACAAAGAACGAGATTATTCTACCTATGTTTATTATTGTCCTGTTTACCTATAGCAATGAAAAATACAAAAAGTGATGATACAACTGGATCTTCTAAGGCTCGAATGATCCGGATGGAACAAATGTTAGAAGCTTTAACAGAAACAATCAGACAACAACAAAGACAACAACCTGTGCTCCCTCTACCACCTCCTGTGCCAGTTGAGTTGGAAAACACTAACATTATTTCACTGACCCAAAAGTTCAACAAAATGAAGCCGCCAATCTTTCTGGGTGGTATTAAGCTGTTGAAAGCCGAAACATGCCTGCTAGAGATTAAAAAGATATTTGAAGTGTTCCCATGCTCAAAAACGCAGAAAGTTCTTTTGGCCACCTATACTCTAAAAGAAGAAACTAGACGATGGTGGATGCTTATCCGAGATGGTAGTGGGACTATGACGTCGAGCCAATTTAAGGTAGTATTCTATGAGAAATATTTCCCCCAATGTTTTAGAGATTGTAAAGTGTCAGAATTTCAAGAACTTAAGCAAGGCAAAATGTCTGTAGCCAAATATGAGGCTAAGTTCACAGAGTTAGCCTGATTTGCTCCTTATATAGTTGACACATATTACAAAAAAAGCTTAGAAATTTGAAGGGGGCTTAGATCTGGATGTGTTTGATCAAGTAGGCATTTTGAAGTCACCTACATATGTGGAAGTACTTGACAGAATGCTAATGGAAGAGGCCACCTTGGCAGCATTGACACAAGCTAAAGCACCAATAACTGAATGACAAAGTAAAAGATTTGGTTTCAATTTTTGGAAGGGCCGTTCATCTTTCTCACACAAAAGGATCTTCAAGTAGTTCAACCCAAAGTAGTGGCTCTAACACAGAGAGCGAGATTATTCTACCTATGTTATTATTGTCTTGTTTACCTATAGCAATGGAAAATACAAGAAGTTATGATACAGCTGGATCTTCTGAGGCTCGAATGAGTTGGATGGAATAAATGTTAGCAGCTTTGACAGAAACAATCAGACAGCAACAAAGACAACAACTTGTGCTCCTTCCACTACCCCTTATGCCAATTGAGTTAGAAAACATTGACATTATTTCACTGACTCAGAAGTTTAACAAAATTAAGCCACCAATCTTTTTAGGTGGTATTGAGCCATTGAAAACATGCCTGCTTAAGACTGAAAAGATATATGAAGTGTTCCCGTGCTCGGAAACGTAGAAAGTTCTTCTGGCCACCTATACTCTAAAAGAAAAAGCTAGACGATGGTGGATGCTTGTCCGAGATGGTAGTGGGACTATGACGTGGAGCCAGTTTAAGGTAGTATTCTATGAGAAATATTTTCCCCAATGTTTCAGAGATCGTAAATTGTCATAATTTTAAGAACTTAAGCAAGGCAAGATGTCCATAGCCGAATATGAGGCTAAGTTCACAGAGTTAGCCTAATTTGCTTCTCATATGGTTGACATAGATTACAAAAAGACTTAGAAATTTGAAAGGGGCTTAGATCTAGATGTGTTTGATTGAGTAGGCATTTTAAAGTTGTCTACATATGTAGAGGTACTTGACAGAGCGCTTGTCATGACCCGAACCCACCCCCATGGATTAAGGTCATAACCAGCCAGTAATCAAGAGATTACCTACTGCCTCAAACCAAATTTGATGTACTTCAACAGAGTTAAGGGGCCAAAACAGAAGCAAAATTAAAAATTTTGTCCACAGAGCTATGCTTACATGGCACATCATAACATTTCACATATATTCATTAATAACTCACATCAAAGGAAGTTAACATATAAGCTTCACACAACAAGATCATTCAAGTCATAGTCAACCAAACCAAAACTTATATACAAAGGTAATCCAAAGTTTTCGCCAACATAGCAAAAATATAACAAAAGAACAAAATGGCGAAAATAAGTCTCGTGCGTGAGACGTATGGGCTGACTTCTCAAACTTTGACCGTTTCTCACATACTTCACTGAGGCTGGGTTTGTACATCTCTTGGCTTACCTACAGACACATGAATGAGAGTGAGCGAAAGCCCAGTGAATAATATCAAATAAAGAAGATACATGAACGAAATTTGAATAGATGCTTCGGACGGCACTTATATACAAAGGTGATCCAAAGTTTTCGCCAACATAGCAAAAATATAACAAAAGAACAAAATGGCGAAAATAAGTCTCGTGCGTGAGACGTATGGGTTGACTTCTCAAACTTTGACCGTTTCTCACATACTTCACTGAGGCTGGGTTTGTACATCTCTTGGCTTACCTACAGACACATGAATGAGAGTGAGCGAAAGCCCAGTGAATAATATCAAATAAAGAAGATACATGAACGAAATTTGAATAGATGCTTCGGACGGCCTTAGGCCCAATTCATGTCTCTATCTAGTGTATCAACGACTACAAGTCCAGACGTATCAAACGGCCTCGGGCCCAATTCATTGGTATCAAGCGGCCTTTGGCCCATTCATTCATATCAAACGGCCTTTGGCCCAATCATTCATGTCCAACGGCCTTTGGCCCAATCATTCATGTCAAACTGCCTTTGGCCCAACAATTCATATCCAACGGTCTTTGGCCCAATCATTCATATCCAACGGCCTTTGGCCCAATTCATTCATGTCCGATGACCCTTAGCCTAATCATTCGTGTCAAACGGCCCTTGGCCCAATCATTCACATCCAACGGCCTTTGGCCCAATCGTATGGCATAACAAATATTGTCCACCTTTCAGATTAACAAGCTTACGAAACTCAAATAGGAGTAGATAATTGGGCAAATAGCATACTTCAAAATATCTTTATTAAGATATTACTCACAGTGTTCTGCTGGTGGATTCATCCTTGTGCTTGACCCTACATAATACATAACACATATATGGATCACAAACGATTCAATCCGTTCTTAATTCATACATCCCTCTTAGGCTTCTTTCTTATCCTTTTTAACGCATTTACAATGTTCAATGCATGCCTAAGAGTGCTTAGAAATGAAAGAGAACGGAAAACAAAACTTAAATCAACTTTACAAAATTTCTGAAACAGGGCTCCCCGCTCGAGCGCGGTTTCTGCTGCTTGAGTGGACCCCTCTAGTCTGCAAAAGTACTGGTTGCCTCATTTTTACGCTCGAGCATGACTTCGGATGCTCGAGCAGGAATTCAAACTACGTGGCTGGCGCTCGAGCGTGACTCTCTCCACTGGAGTGGACATCAATGTCTGCAAGAGTTCTGGGAACTAACATTTTACGCTCGAGCGGCGCTTTCCCCGCTCGAGCGAACATGCCGAATTCTGAAATTTCCGGAATTGTTCTTAGAGTTCAAACTTAATGTTCAAAGGTTCAAAACTCATGTTTTTAATACAAAAGCATGAAAGGACATCATATAACACAAGAACATGAGTAATTTGAAACCAATTGACCAAAATCATGGTCCACCACAAAAATTATCTTGAATTCTTTTCATAATTTTCAAAACCCATGTACTCAACTTTATACAAATTTCGTACCTTTATCTATCATGCATACATGTACATTCTTGACTCCAACTCTATTCCAAATGGTACAAATGACAATTATAATCATGAATCTCAACAAAACCATGCTTGCATGTATGCTTCAATGCTCAATTCTTCTTGTTCAACATGATTCATGTTTGAATGTATAAAATCATGGCAATTATGCACATGCCTATACATACAAGCTCCAAATTCATCAATTACAACTCAAATTATGTTCTTGATTATCATCTAGCTCGAATTCACAAATTACAAACTCAAACTCATGAATTTACTCACCTAAGAGCTCCAATCTTCCAAAATATAGTTAATTCTTGAGTTAAACTCCAAGATCTTCAAGCTTCTTGAACAATTCTCTAACTTGAGCTCCCTCTCTCTCTCTCTCTAACCGGCACACACTCTCTCTCTAGAGTGTAATCTCAGCAAAATGAGTTCAAAAGAGAAGAATTGAGTGTACACAAGCCTATTTACAGGCTTGGCTAATCAAATTGATTAAGACTAAGTAATTAATCCCAATTTAATCATTCTGAATCTAATTATTTAGATTTGAATAAATTTTCAATTAAATTTCACCATAGGCTCTAAAAATTACGCCAATCACAATGGCGTAGTCAATTTTGGTTTCTGTGGCCGATAAGGCCTTCAATTTTCAGTTTATAACAGTAAGTTGAGCAGATTTTCCTATGGTGAACAGATAGAAATTCAAAACCACATATAATCATATAAATGACACTCAAAATCATATCAAACACATAATCACAATCATAATTAAAATCAATCAGCATAATACGGAATAAGGTTATCACAGCGCTAATGGCAGAGGCCACCTTGGCAGCATTAAGACAAGCTAAAGCACTAATAATAGAATGGCGAAGTAAAAGATTTGGTTCCAATTTTCGGAAGGGCCATTCATTTTTCTCACACAAAAAGCAAAATACAGGATCTTCAAGTGGTTCAAGCCAAAGCAGTGGCTCTATGCCAGTTTGTACTAAATGTGGAAGGAAGCATAAAGGCACGTGTTACCGTGCATTTGGTGCTTGTTTTCGGTGTGGCAAGACTGGCCACATGATTAGAGATTGTCTGATGAGATCCGATGATGCTAACCGTCCTGCGGCAAGTTCAGCCGGATCCACTCCTGCACCAAGAACCAATGTAAAAACTAATACCGGGAGAGAAACTTTGAGGCAAGGCCGAGTGTTTGCATTAGTACCTGGTGATGTACAGAACACCGAGTCAGTGGTGTCAGGTATGATCTCTATTTGTGCTCAACGTGCTCATGTGTTGATAGATTCTGGTTCTACACACTCTTTTGTGTCACATGCTTTTTTTCGGAAATTAACTCAACCCTTAGAACCTTTGAATTATTTTTTATCTATATTTGCACCAATTGGAGGCTCTATGTTATGTGTTTATGTGTATCCTGCGTGTGACATCGTGGTTGGGGATATGTTATTATATGTTGATTTGCTACAGCTGGACATTACCGATTTTGATTGTATTCTGGGTATGGATTGGTAGACTAAATACTATGCCACCATTGACTGTGTGAGTAAATCGGTCGTGTTTCGACCACCTAGTGTGCCTGAGTTTGTCTTTACTAGGAATGGGGTAGTTCCTCCACTGTACTTGATTTCATTTATAAAAACTAGGAAGTTGTTGAGAAAAAGGTGTCAGGGCTACTTGTGTTGTGTATTAACTGTATTTTCGGTTAGTGCTAATTTGGAAACTATTCCTATGGTTAATGAATTTCCTGATGTCTTTCCAAATGAATTGCTGGGGATCTAATTGATAGGGAAATTGAGTTTACTATTAATATAGTGCCTGGAACACAACCTATTTCTAAAACCCCTTACAGAATGTCAACCTCGGAACTTAAAGAATTAAAACCCAACTTCAAGAACTATTAGACAAGAAATTCATCTGCTCGAGCACTTCACCTTGGGGTGCTCCAGTCCTATTTGTTAAGAAGAAAGAAGGGTCTTTGAGATTATGTATTGACTATCGTGAATTGAACAAAGTAACCATAAAGAACAAGTATCCATTGCCCAGAATAGATGATCTAT